CCATGAAGCATTTTTTACATTTCCCCTCTAAGTAAACAACTACCATTTAGTTGTTTGCCTTGGTTTCTTCAGCTGTAAAACAGGGATAAATAGTACCTTCAGAAGGTTACCGTGAGGATCAATAAGATATTTGCAAAGTGTTTAGCACAGTCCCTGGCACATTGTAAGCTCTACAGAAATGTTTATTCCCTTCTCTGCAAAAAATGATTTGGTCCGTGTGTCCAGATTCCCTTTGCTTCCTGTACCTAATTGGAGCTTTAAAGGGGTTTAAGTAAAGGACAGAACCAATAAAGGAGCTAAACCCCACCTCAATATTCGGGCTTCAGCTGAGAGTTTTGGTAGTGGAGGGAGCGAAGTCATGGCTGTTGAGGTCCAGCTGACTGCCTTGATGCAATATCATTCACATGATGAGCAGAGGATGGACAGGGGACAAGGATAAATTCTAGTAATAACTCATTTATATGGTGCTTTAGAGGTTACATGTTTTGCATCCTTTGATCCTTGCACCAACCCTAGAAGGTAGGTGGTGGTATTATCTCTACTTTATGGATAAGGAAACAGACTCAGGTTGTGATATGCCCTTGGTCACACAGGTGCTCAAGGCCCATAAAATTGAGGTTCTTCCTGACTCCAGGTCCAGCAGTAACTATATCCACTAGACCAGAGGTGTCATACATGTGGCCCACACTCCCAAGTAAGACCTGAATCAAAATGTAATTGGGAAATACTTAACCAAATTAATTTTAAAAATACAATAAAAAGTAACATTAGATAGTAAAACTAAGTCAATATGTGGCCTGCAGGGATCCTTCTGTATAAATTAGTGGCTCAGTCTCTATTTGAGTTTGGCACCACTGCCCTAGACCAGCTTGCCTCAAGATTAAATATATACAGTGCAGTACTGTCATTCCATTATTCTCTAAGACAGAAGCCAAGAATTGATGATTCTACTACCCTTTATTCCTGGGCTGGGAGGAGGCGACCTAAATCACATCCTAAAAACCTAGGACTCTGGATCCCATTGTGCCTGGGGCCTGAGCCATATTGTTAAAGCTCCAGCCCTCTCACTTGAGTGGGAACGTGGCTGAACTCAGGAAGGCTTACTACAGAAGTGGCAACAATCTCTCTCGAGGGGGTATACCATAAAGATGACGTTGTCCCAGGGTGGGAGGGCAGGGTGGTCTGGTCTAACCACCTCAAAGCCCATGTAGCTGAAGGCCCGAAGCAAGGCACCTATGAGGGAGAAAAAAGTAAGTTACCAGAAAGGCCTTTTCAAGATCACCAAGTCCTTCTCCCTCCACCTCTCCATACCCTTACTTTGTCTGCCAGCTCCCGTTAAGCATGGATAGAAAGCTCCCCGTAAGGATTATTCCCCAAGCCTATGTTCTCAGCAGTGCCAAGGAAAAGGGATAATCATGAGAGCCTCCATCCACACTAAGGCCAGGGCAGAAAGTGGACAGGGTAGTTTCCCAACCCCAGTACCTCGGTCATTCCTAGCATTGTGGAAGTTCACAAAGACAGAGTCCACATCTGTTTTCTCCTCCACGTACTCCAGTGTTGCTGTCAAACTGTGAGCCAGAGAAAGAAAAGCTACTGGGCATAACTCAGTAATGATAGAGGGGACAGACAAATCATGAAATTCAGTCACTGATCCTTCCTCTTGACCTAGACCTAAGGAACAAATTTCCTAAGTCAGTGTTGTAAATAATCCTTTGAGGTCTGCAGTTATTATTAGGCTTATCCAGAGTAAAAAGCCAAGGACTCTTCCTCCCATAGGAAGAATATTATTCTAACATACTAGTGACCATAATTTCTAGAACCCTAAGGGTCCCGTGTTTTTGTGGACCTTTTAAAAGCTCATCTCCATGAAGACCTAGTCTCCTATACGTATTATATCTTCGTGTTCATTTAATCCCTACGTGTACTTTGGTCTTTCACATCTAGAGCATCATTGTTTCTGGGACAACTGATATTCGCTGGCTTTCCCATTACAGTAATCCAATTTGGGATAATGAAGGGTTCTACTCTCACCTCTCCCGATTGCCTTGGTCTAGTGCCCTGTAGGGGATGTCCAGGAAGAGTCGGTGGTCACAGAGGAGGCCGTGCCAGTGGGCAGAAGCCTGAGGGGTGAGACGGAAGTGGAAATCTAACTGTACTGGGTCCTGGTGCAGCAGGGAGTCATTAGCTAGCACCGTCAGGTTCCCAGACTGTAAAGAAAAAAGAAAATGCCAAAGTTAGAAAAGGTTTTTTATTTACTGGATACTGCTACTATCCAAACTTGCCCCCCCTACCCCCCCCCCAAAAAACAGTCTTAGTTTGGGAGGTGCGGTGAGATTATCTCATTATTGGAGCTTCCATAGTATCCCTTAATTCTGGAGCCTAACAACACTCAAAAATCATTATCTAGATGGCATATTGTCTAACCTCAATTAATTTTTACCATTTTCCCTCTTTCCTTAGAGGAGAATGAATATACTTATCATCCTTCTCTGTAAAGTATAGGAACTTAAAGACGATTTCTTCTTTTGTTTTACCATCATTTCAACAGCAAAAATCTTTCCCAAGGCAGCAGTATTGTCCTGTTTTCAAGGCAATTATGCCAGATTCCTGCCCACTGCCTACTCTGCTAATTCTTTCACCATTTAGGTTTGTTCTTTCCCTTCCCGCTTGTGTGTAAGAAAACCAAAATTGGGCATGTCATACTAAGGATATACTAGAGTGGGAAAAGAACACAGAAAGGCAGAACACCTGGTTTCTAGTTCTAACTTTGTCACATTGGGTAATTATGCTCCTCGTGGACCTGCTTTTTCAATTGTAAAATAAGCTGCAACTAAATCTCTAAATTCCCTTACAACTCTAAAATTATCACTGTTTCTCCTTCAACTGGCTATTTGCCTAGGATGTCACTATGGAGAGCAAGACCTGGGCTGGAGGTGGAGGTGCAGGGTCCCACCCTAGAATCCACTTACCGAGTACAGCTCTTTGAGCTGCTCGTGGTCTCCCTGCTCAGTGCTTCTGCCCACCTGGAGGCCTGCTAGGGACTCAGGAGCACTGGAGGCAGCACCGAGGTCGGAGTGTCAGGCTATCCCTCTCAGTTACGATGAGGCTGGTTAAGAAGCAGGGGCCTAAATTAGGAGCTCGTCTGTGTATGGTGGGGAGGGATGTGGAGCACTGGACCCCCTTATACCATCTCCTTTCCCCAAGTCATCATATCAGTCCCCCTCTGCTGTCCTCTAATCCAATATCTTTATTACTGAGAGCTCACCAGAGAAGAGGCATCCCAAACTGCCACCCTATTTCAGTATTTTCCCACCCCTTGCCAGTTGGTAAGTTATTTTGAAATTTGAAATGCAGATGAAGGAATAGTTTAAAGGAGCAACTGTAGCTAGGGAAGAGTTTAAAAGAACTATTACCTTCTGTAACAAGGGTTACAAGGCATCATCTTCTCCCGAACCGTGAACCGGTACTTGTAACAGTAATTAAAGTAGGCAAAAGGAGAGCAGAGTGGGTACAGACGGTTCCGTTTTTTCCCTTTCTTGGTATACGAAAGGGAATATATAGGAAAGCACAACCTTTGACAAGGCAGTTTCTTAATTCGGTGCCACCCAGCAACAAAGTGAGATGAGGAGAGAGGAGCTGGGGACTTATGCTACCTACTACCATTGTGACCCGCTAGGCTAGGCCAGAGACAGTCCCACTGTGACATGGACAGAAACCCTGGCCCTAACCCATCTCAGGATCACATTGTTGCTCTGCATCTACTTCACCCACCAGCTCAAAGGTACCATTTATCTCAGAGACAACACACAGGCTTTCCAATGTTACTCTTTGAAAGTCATTCCATCCTCCCTCAAAGAGTAGTCCCTCTCCCCATTCAAGTAGTGGTGCTTTGAGGAGAGAAAGGTTGAAATGTATTCTCTGTTGCAAAGCTGTAATCCAAGGGAAGAAGTGTTCTGGATGTGTCTTTTCTCAACTGATGAAGCTACCAGTTTCCTCTTATTTGGCCCATAACCTAGCATTTGTTTATCTCCTTATTTAATTCATTTTTGCTGTAGCATTTTAACTTGGCAGAATAGGAGCTCCTTCAGATTTCATCCTGCCCTTCAATAACTGGGCAGATTTGCAGGCGGATGTATCTACAGATTAAGGGTTCTCTTTCCCCAAGGTCAATGTTCATTCAATTTAACACGAATTAGGCGCTTACTATGTGCAGAATAGATAAGAGCTTGAAAAATACTATCTAAATCCACTTGGTTTTTTAACTATGAGGATAGGTCATCTTTTTTGTGGGTTTTATTTGAGAAACCTTATACTGTTCCAGGGCTTGATGTAATCAGCACAACGTTGGAAGTCACCTAGCCATTTACAGGGAACCTCTCTTCCATTCGGAGCTTCGTGGAGCATCCATCTGTCTCGGTTTTATTCTTCCCCTGAGACAGTCTGAGGGTGGTCTAGCCCTCTGATTATAAATGGTCTCTGAGGATGGTCTGTCTCTGCCCCTCTCTCTTTCATGATTCTGGCTAACGCACAGGAGGCCCCTTCCTCGCTGGGGAGAATCTCTGAGCCGACAGCCGGAGTCCAGCTCTCCTGCCTCCTTGGTCTGAGCTTTGTCTGGGTTTGGTTTGATTGGTTTTTGCAAAGTCAGGCTGCTTTTCTTAATTTTACTAAGACTGTGGCCCCCAAACTCCCCAAAACAAACTGTGGGGAGGGTTGCCATCATACGGATGATTGTTTCAAATCTGCGCGTGCCTTTGCCAGGAAACATCTGACTGCCTAAGCATTTCTCCTCTGGGCCTCGGTTCCCTAGCTCTTACAGAGATTAGGCTCCGCGCTTCCCAAGGACCCTTCCAGCCAGAAACCCTAGGAAGGCTAGGAAGACTGCCTGTCCTCTCACGCGCAGGCGCAGTACGTTCTGCCTCAGGCGCGACTCGGTAGAGCCCTTCTGGCCCGCGCTGGGGTCCTTCCTCCCTGCCCGTCGCTGGCGCCCTTCTCTCCTTGGTCTCCGAGGCTATGGCAGTGCGGCTGGGCCCGGTGCTGCTGGCCGCAGCCGAGGGGCTGTTGCCCCGGCTCGGAGCCGGAAGTCCCGGCCTGGAGCGCAATTTTAGCCTCTCTCACAGCTGGGTGAGGGGTCCGAGGGCTTGCCCTGGAGGCGGCGGGGGAGGGGGAAGCGAGCAGCGGGGACGAGGGGAGGGTGGCAGCCGGGACCCCGCACCCGGGGCTTGGGGTGGGCGGGTTGACGGGTCGGGGCGCCCCCGAGAGAGAGGGCTGAGTGCGGGGATCATCCCCAGGGCCCGGCCCGCGCAGGCTGACCGAGCCCGCCTCTGTCCCCCGTGTCCGGCCAGAACACGGTGATCGTGGAGCGCTGGTGGAAGGTCCCGCTGGCAGCCGAGGGCCGGAGTCCGCGTCTGCGCCGGCGGCACCGGGTCTACCGGCTGGTGGAAGACACCCAGCACCAGCCGCAAGGGACCATGGAGCTCATCCTGACCCGGACGGTGGAGGGTAAGCGAGCCCGGCCTCGGGGTACCGGGAGGAGGGCTCCTTACCCCGTGAAGCGCCCAGAGAAACCTGTAGGACGTTGGTAGATAAAACCAGGCTCCCTTTGGGCCACAACCTCTGACCTTTCGCAAATCCTCACAAGCAGCACGTTTGAGTTTTCTGTGCTCTCTCAACCCCTGCCTATTCTCCGGCAGGTGCTACAGAGCAGAGGGGCCTGAGGAATCTGTTAGCCCAGGGATAATTAAGGAATTAACTGAATTTTTAAGGGGGGGAGGGGAGTTCATTCCTGAGGTCTTTTAGGGCCCGGGGTGAAATGACTAGTTAGTTTAGTGGAGGTAGATTGAAAAGAGCAATATTCTCCGCTTCCCTGGCATTGTTCTATACGCTTAATTGCAAAAAGGTTATCCCCTTTCTTTAAAAAGAGCGAGTGTTGGGGCAGCCAGGGAGCGCAGTGGTTAGAGCACTGGCCCTGGAGTCCAGAGGACCTGAGTTCAAATGTGCCCTCAGACACATAATACTAGTTGTGTGACTTTGGGCAAGTCACTTAATCCCAATTGCCTCACAAAAAAAGAAAAAAAATGGGTATATCCAATATCTATTGTTTACCTGAGCGGGAAAGTGGGCTCTGGGACAAGTATCCTACAAAACCCCCATTAGGAGAGATCCTATGGGTAAGGCATTGAAATTTTTACTATCCTTACCCAAGATTTTCTTCCAATTTAATAACTCTATTCAGTGTTTATACATTTATGATTTTCAGACTTCACTCTGAATCACCTCCATAGGTTTTCCTTTTATGCTGCTGGCCAGATAAGTTTTTTAAAATAGCACAATATGAAATGTCCATGAGAAAGTAAAATTGCCTGAGGTGAGGAAGCAGAGATTTTTCTGCCATGGCCATACCTTAACAATCCCAAAATATCATTGTTCCTTTATAGCTCTTTTCTATATGATAACCCTTCAAATGCTTGAAGACATGGTGTTCGATCCTAAGTCTTCTCCAGTTTAAACATCCCAAGTTCCTTTAACTGATCCTTGTATGGCATGACCTTCAATCCCTTTATCACCCAATCCCCAATCTCTGTTCTCACCCTCTCCAGTTTATCAATGTCCTTCCTAAAACAGTGTACTCAGATTTCAAAACTTTTTTTTTTTTTAAGTGAGGCATTTGGGGTTAAGCGACTTGCCCAGAGTCACACAGCTAGTGAGTGTTATGTGTGAACACATTTTTTCTAAACACGGTTTGACCAGCTGGACTATCACCTCCTATGTTCTGACTTCCCTTAATGGAACCAAAAATCACATTTTTTTTTTAAGCTATCATATTGTTGAGGTTGCAGTCCATGAAAACCTTCGGATACTTTTTTTTCTTTCTTTTTGATGAGACAGTCAAGGCTAAGTGACTTGCCCAGTGTCACACAACTACTAAGTGTCAAGTGTCTGAGGCCAGATTTGAACTCTGGTCCTCCTCACACCAAGGCCAGCACTGTATCCGCTGAACTACCTAGCTCAGATACCTTTCAGTCAGACTGTCTTTTGGATATCTTAAATTGGATGGCCCTTAAACATCTCAAACTCAACATATCCAAAACAGAACTCATTCTTTTTCACAAACCCTTTCCTACTTGTGAACTTTCCTGTTACTGTCAAAAGCACCACCATTCTTCTAGTCACTCAGTCTTTCTCAAAACCTCAGTGTTATCCTGAACTCCTCACACCCCATATATCTAATATGTTGCCTAACCTTGGGCTTTTTTACCTTCACGTCATATGCATCCTCTTTACTCCTGCTTTACTTTACATTTACTAGCCATCACCATAGTTCAGGTGCTCATCACCTCCCACTTGCCTCTTCCTACCTTTGTACTCTTACCCTTTACTACCTTCCATGCAGGCCAGATACACTTAGTTGCTTTTTTTCCACACATAATCCTCCATCTCCTCTCTCTGCCTTTGCACTAGACATCCCTTTCTTGTGGGGAAGAATTCCTTCCCTTCTTACCTCAGGTCAGATGTCAAGAGGCCTTTCCTGGTCTCCTCAGCTACTCATGACTTCCCCTCTGAGGTTACCTTTCACAGAGTCTGTAGATATCTGTATGTACCTAGTTATTTACATGCAATCTCCTCGGTTAGAATGTGAGTGCCTTGAAGGCAGGGTCTGCTTTTGCCTTTCTTTGTATCCCCAGTGCTCAGCACATAGAAGTGCTTAACAAAAGCTTGGTGATTGACTGAGTGATTAGTCCTTCATCTCAAAGCTGATTTTTTGTAACCCAAGTGTAGGATTTATATTTAATACCTATTTAATGATTTAATTTCTATTAAATTTAATTATATTTTATTTGGCTCAGTGTACTGATCTTTAAACATCAGCTTGTCCCAGCTTTGTGTCTTCTCAAAATTTCCTAAGTAGATGGCAGGCGGTTATATATTTATTTTGTCTGTGTATTTGTAGGTGTCTCCTTCAATAGAATATAAGCTCCTTGAGGGCAAGGACTGTTTGATTGTTGTCTTTCTATCCCCAGGGTCTGTACTAGGTAGGTAACGTTTGAAGTTCTTTCTATACTTGAATTTCTGTGATTCTTCCTTTTATTTTCTCTGAACAAGTTAACTGGACATTTTTTAGCTTCATGGGCTCATACTTTTAGAGTTAAGAGACCTCAGAGGTCAGTTTCCTCAGCTGTAAAATGGAGTTAATAATGTACTTCTGTTTCACAAGGCTGTTGAGAAGAAAGAACTTGGAAAACTCTCTTCCTGGGCTTTTACTCCTCCAAAGATAGTCACTTTCTCTTTCCCTTTTTGTAGCACCTTACTTGGATTCTCTTTTGTACTTTCCTCACTGCCTTGAGTCATAAGTATATGTGTATCTACGTTTCCTTCCTACTAGATTGGAAGGTCCTTGAGAACAAGTTCTGTCGTACTTTTGTATTCCTGTGTGTACCTAGCATGGTAACTTGTAATAGATGTTTGTAGCACTGAATTAAATTTAGTATAAAAAGTGAGAGCATAGTATTAGTATAATCATGATGTGTAAACAGGACTGTGAATTCTCTCATTTTATTTTATAATAATACTTTATAGTGTTCTATATCTACTTTGACAAAAATCATACTGTTTGGTCATCATAACAACCCTGTGGAACAGTGTATCTAATTATTATCCTCATTTTACAAATGAGGAAACTAATGCTCTCAGAGAGATTAAATGACTTGCCCAAGGTCACACATCTTAGAAGTAGCAAAGCCAGGGCTCATTCTCATGTTTTCCTGATTCTGAATCCCAATAATCTTGCTATAATACAAATATTTGAATTTTTCAATAGGGAGAAACCTGTATAGAGAACATCATATTTCAAAGTAGTCATAAAAGAAACCAAAGGATGTCCTTAGTTGACATATGCCTATACTGTCTTCTGAGTAAGCTTCAAATGAAAGAATCTCTTCAGTTGGCTCTCTTCCCCTTCTTGGGTTATCTGACATAATATTTAACCTTTATGTTGCTCCCTTTGGCAGACCTCGGAATCCGAGGCGACACTGTCACAGTGAAGAAATCACTGGGCCGGAATAAACTGCTTCCTCAGGGTCTTGCTGTTTACCCATCACCAGAGAACAGGAAGATGTTTGAGGCTGAGAACCAGGTGAGCCACGACCAGGGAGATGAAGAGGCAAAGGAAACAGCGGTTAGAACCCTTAGGCTCTTCCTGGAAGGAAAACATGTTATCTAGTTCAATTTTGAGGTTTAATTTGAAAATGTAGAGTGACAGAAAGGAATGGGATCCAGAAGCCCAAACCTATTGCCTCTTCAAGCAAGAGGGAAATATTATTTACACTGGATTCTTTTTTTCTCCCCTTGGCTCTTTATCGCATCTAGTTGCGGCAGGAGGGGAAGCTAGAGAAGCTCCAGACCAAGACTGGTGTGATGGTGAGTGGGGATCCTTCAGTCAGAATTTGAATGCCTTCTGCAGAAGTCCCAGTCTTTTTTTAACCGGAAGCAGCTTTTGGTTTTTTTCTTCAGTCCCCCAAAGTCCTGGTGATCACAAACTAGCAGTAGTATGAAGGTATTGGGGTGGGGGGGAATGGGGTAGAAATGGAGAGGAAACAGCATCTAGTTTGTAGATCTACTATTGAGGAATCCTTGACTTAATAGAGTGCTAGGTCCTTTGGAGAGATGTGAGGAAACATTAGTCACGGCTATTGTCCTCAAGGAGCTTATTTTATCTAGTTTATAATTATTATAACAACTAGCATCTATATGGTGCTTATTTTGTGCAAGGCACCACGCTAAGTGCTTTACAGTTATCTTTACATTTATTTTATTTGATCTTCACAACAACCCTGGGAGGTATAAAACCTCCCAAGGGAGTTCTGAGAAATAAGTAGATGATAGGGCCAGATTGTAAAGTACCTTGAATTCCAAGCAGAAGGATTTTGAACTTTATCCAGGAAGGATGTATACCTAGGTAGGGATGGCTTTCCTAAGCCATCCTTCCATAATATCAGGAAATATCCACCTGTGGCAACCAGATACCTTCCAGGCGCCTGCTCTGGAATCAGTGGAGCAAAAACATACTTACCCTTGATCTTGCTTCCTTTATAGTGACTTAGTTTGGAGTCTTAAGTGTATAAGGGTATCAGAGAGAACGCCACATCATTTTCCCTCTGTTTGCCAACTACATCGTGGGTGTTTCTAGCACGTTTTGCTTTCCATTCACTGTCTTTCCTGCAGACCTGCTTAAGAAGCACCGGAGTCAGTAGATGTGATAAGGCTTGATTCTTTTAGGATCCTAAGTTTAAGACAGCCAGTTGGTACATCGGCCTCTTGGCTGAAATGCATAACTTGTCCATCCTCCCTAAGTTATTTAACCCAGCACTCCCTGCTGCAATGTGTACAACCCTTCCAAATCTGTTCCTAACCTACCCACTCCCACTGCTTCTCAGACAGTGAAATTCTTGAAGAGCTGCCACCTGGAAGTGGGAATGAAGAATAATGTCAAGTGGGAGCTAAACCCTGAAATTGTCTGCCGCCACTTCTTCAAAAATGTGAGTGTCTCATCCCTTGATGACCACGTCTGTTAGGCAGACTTCATAGCAGATCTCTGTGTTAGGAGAGGTGGGGAAGGGGGTAATATAAATATAAGGCATCCCTTAGGTTACAGGCCTCAGAATGCCATCATTCAGGTTTGGGGGTACATAGGGCAGAACTGATTTTGCAGTGATACACTGATCAGGTTTGTTGTTGATGTGGAGTGGAAAAGCAAATGGGCTTTGAAGTCAAGCACCTTGGTTTGGGTCCCTGATCTGTTCTTTACTGGCTGTGTGACCTTTGGGCAAATCGCACCTTAGGACTCCAGCTTCCTCCGCTGTCAAGTGAGAATAATAACACTGGACCTGTTTGCATCATAGGACCATTTTGAGGATGAACGATAATGTGTATGAAAGTGTTTTAAAAGCTGTGAAGATTATTAGAAGGAAACAAGCAGGCAATTGCAAGTGATATACCATAGTAGACCATTACACAATTGCCTGAAAGAAGTAGAGGTGGAAGATTCTCCCCTCCCCTCCCCAACTTACTTTTGGCTGATTATTTAAACAGCATTTGATTTGGTTACGCCAAATGCTATGTGAAAGGCTCCCTTCCACAATCTGTAAGCACTGAAAAAAATAGCATTAGTTATGCCTACCATCACTTTATAACAAGCTAGATTTGGGGGAGAGTTTGGTTTTTATTTCGATCACTATAGTAAATGTGTGTTGCTATTGTGATTTGTTATGTATTACAGTGGAGAGTGATGGATTGGGAGTCAGAGTCCTGGAATCAAACCCTGGCTCTGCCTTTTAATCTCTGGCTGGGCTCCAGCAACCATTTACCGCGTGTGGGCCTGTTTCCTTCTCTGTGAAATGAAGGTGTTGACTCAGTGCTCTTTAAAAGCCTTTCCACCTAAATTTATGATCCCGAGATTGGGTTGGTACGTCTTTGCTTCTGTTTCTGTTTTTTTTTTCCCCTTGGGAAACTGAAACTATAACAAAACTAGCTTTGGTCAAATCTTTGCACAGGAGTGGGCAAGACTGAAAAATTTTGGAAGTAGTTTGGTGAGGCTTTTCTTTAATGGCAGATTTTTGAATATTGTCTTGCAGCTTGGCGTGGTAGTATCCCCACATGCCCTAAAGCTACCTGAAGAGCCAATCACAAGGTGGGGCGAGTACTGGTGTGAGGTGACGGTGAGTTTCCCCCTTGCATGAATCCTTTTTCTTGTTCTAATTGAGAAGGTAAATGCTAAATGGTGTCTTGGGATGGTGTCGTTTCCAATCCCTGGATGTCCTGTCTGTCTGTCTGCAGGTGAATGGGCTTGACACAGTGAGGGTCCCCATGTCTGTGGTGAATTTTGAGAAGCCCAAGACCAAGAGATACAAGCATTGGTTAGCGCAGCAAGCTGCCAAGTAAATGGACCCTACCAGTAAAGACTTCTCTTTCCACCTGTGGCAACCAGATACTTTCCAGGTGCCTACTCTGGAATCAGTGGGGCAAAGATAGATCTACCCTTGATCCTGCTTCCCTTACTGTGACTTAGTTTGGAGTCTAAGTGTATAAAGGCATCAGAGAGAACACATCACTTTCCCTGTGTTTGCCAACTACGTCGTGGATGTTTCTAGCCCTTTTTGCTTTCCATCCACTGTCCTTGCTGCAGACCTGCTTAGGAAGCATTGGAGTCAGGAGATGTGATAAGGATTGGAATTTACCACGGGGCATCTTCCAAACTGAGAGTCAGGCTGAGCCCCTCTGAGTGAGGAGAAATGGAAGTCCTAACTAGGATCTCTCCATTCTGTGTGCCCACCACCTGCATCATGATCATCAATAAAGATATTTGTGCTCTATGGAGGTGTCATTACTTGGGAACAGAACCTAAGAACGAGAAATATTTGAGCCAGGTTCTTGAGGTGCTAAGCTTTGACCCTAGATAGTAAATGAGAAAACAAATGAGACTCCCATATATTACAGCTCTTTATGGACAAGTTGTTCTTTGCCAGCCTCTCAGTTTCATTTTCTGGTGATGGAAATGAAACAGGTTTTAAAAAAAAGCCTACAGGTAAGCTTAGCGTCACTCAAAAGACACTGACTATTTACTTGCGTTCATAATTCCTCGTGTGCGGCATCTGTCTGAAGTCCCAAGTTTTATTGTAGTGGTTGCTAGACTAAAAAGAACAAAGGATTAGAAAGAAAGGGCTGCCTTTGCTTCTCCATGAGGCTTAAAATGTGTAGGGGCTGGTGGCTGGGAGACTCTGGAATAGGGGCCAAAAGACTCATTAACTTGCTTTTCATGGGAGTTGAGGGGAGGAGATGGTCCTGCATGAGCTCAGAGCCATTAGCAAGAGAAAGGCTATCCATTAAGTCAAGGTTGACTGCTGGATTATGCCAAGGTCATTTTTAAGTGCATTGTGAGGTAGCTTGTTGTAAAAAGGAAGAAATCATTTAATTCTGCTCTTTCATTATCTGATGCAGGAAAGTGAGGTCAGGAAGGATTTTTAACTGGGCTTTGGTCCCCAACTAGAGGATCGCCTCTACCATAGAACATTTTTCCCCATGTGTTCTCTCTTCCAGGAAGGTTTATTTCCTTAAGCAGGTCTGTTGATTATTTTCAACTCTGTTCTCCCCCCTCACATCCCATATCTACTTATTGACAGGTCTTGTTGGGTCTCTTCTATCTGTCCCCTCCTCACAGAGCTACCACCCTAGATCATGCTTGCACCTGGGCTACTACAGTAACTTCCTGAATGTCATCCTGCTTCCAGTCTCCCATCTTCCACACAGCTGCCAAAAGCACCGGCCTGACCATATCACTTCTTAAGAAGGTCCAATAGTCTGTTTACTGTCAGAAATCAGGACGACCTGGGTTCAAGTTCTGCCCTTGACATGTTGTCTATAATTCAGCACTTAAACCCATATGGGGTCAAGACCCACAATTTAAGAAGTGCTGAAAAGGTCACAAGTGGAAAAAGTTCAAGAAGCCCTGGTCTATATTACCATGGACAAGTTCTTTGACTTCTAAATGCTCTAAGTATCTCTCTTGAGACCGTAAATAGTAGAGAAGGTATCACCTATACAGGTAGTTTCCTCACTTGTGTGCTCCCCTCTCTGGCTTCAGCTGCTCTTCCCAGGCTCACTTCCTGTCATTCCCTAGCTCTGCTCTGTCTCTGGACACTCTCCTCATCTCTTCCCCTTGAAGCCCCCTGCCCCTCTCTTCAAGGCTCCTGTGCTGCCCCCTATAGGACATTCCTCTTATCCCCCAGTGCCCTCCTCTCTAAAATTACTGTGTACCTATTCTGTAGTGGAACTCTGTTGGTTGTTGTCCTGTATTGGAACTGTTGCTGTATGTGTTGTTTCCTCCCAATAGAATGTAAAGTCCTTCCATTTTCTGTATGTATCTGAAGTGCCTAGCACAGATACTGGCACAGGAAGTGCTAAATAAATGAAAGGTGAAAAGTAGGGACTTGATATTGGTCCAGTGCAGCCAGATGTACTGGCTCTTCCTTAGCTCAGCATACTCGGCAGCCCTTGGAAGTGCCAGGAGCTTAGGAAACTTGAGGCACTGAACAGACAGTATATTCAATTCTTACTGGGTGTGAGGCAACATGCTAGTCATCAGCAATAGAATTCATGACCAAGACCCTGCTCTCAGAAAGAGGTGGGGCTAAAGACAGCAGATTCTTTTAAGACAGGCAAAGGAAGATGAAGAGCCCACAAGTAGTTGGTGAGGTGCAGCTTCAGTTTATTCCTCTGTAAAACGAAAGCTTTTCTTGACCTCTGAGGCCCTTTCTATCGCTACATCTGCCATGCAGTGACATACTTGTTTTAGGAATTGTGGAAGGGGAATTACCCTGATTCCAGAGTTGGTTCCAGGGGCAGAACTAGAAACAAGGAGTTGGAATTTCAGAGGCTTGATCTCTGTCAGGGAAAACCTAGCAATGAGAACTGTCTGAAAGTGGGACAGGCCATATTGGCAAGTACCAAAGGTCTCTGAGCAAAAGCTGGGGGACCATTCGTCAGGGATAGATGGGTCTCAGTGACTGGCCAACTCCTGTCTGCTCTGAGTTTCTGTCATATGAAGCACTTCAGTCTTCTCAGGACCAATAGAAAAGAATCACTCTCACAGTTAATTGTTCTTGAGATAGTGCAGTCCTGCCTGGAGACAGGCAGCTGGATCAGAAGGCATCAGTCCAAAGAAGGATGTTGAGTCACCACTCCTAGCTCAGCTCCCCTCTTTGTCCTGGTCCTTCTGCTTAGCTACATACAGACCCAGACCAGGCAGCAGGGGCTCCCCCTCCTCGGTCTTTACTGGGTATTCTCAGCTCTTAGCCTTTGCACCTTTACGTTCACAACATGGAAGGTCAGGAAGTCTTTGCCGATGTGGGAGAGGAAGGAGCAGAAAAGAGAAGCTTTAAATTAAAGTCCAGCCCATATTTTTATAAGGCCTGTATACAGACACAGACACACACACACACACACAGACACACACACACACACGCCTTTAAATAGAAAAATAACCTTGTCTCCACTGGTAGTCCCCGTATCTGAAGTTTCCCTCTCATGGTATGAGCTCTCATCACATACTATTTTATACACGTATGTACCTAGGTGTTCATATAGATTCACTGATTTTGAGCTCATCTTTTCCAAGCTCTTCAAGCTACAGATGAACAAACTGAGACCCAGAGGAGTTGAATTATTACCCAGGGAAGAACAGAGCCTCAGTTTGAGCCCCCAGTTCTCTGATTACAAGGCCAGCATGAAAACTTCCACCATACCATGCTGCCTCATCCTTATCATTGCTGTACTTATACTGAAAAATGCTCTTGTGTCTGTGCCTCCCACACTCTAAATTTAAGGGTAGAAACCAAGTCTTCATTCTGCAAAGTTCCCATGATCCCCACTCTAGTGCTCTCTACATGACAGGTGAGAGGCACTGGTGTGTTGTTTGAAGATAGGGGCTTTGTCTCGCTTCTTAAGACAAGATGCCATGGCCATCAGTAGTTCTGGCTGAGACATGATTAAAATGCTTTCCACCCCGAGCCTAGAGGTTCATGATTCAGTTTTGGGTAGTTCTCAGAGTGCCCCACTTTGCTTCCTTCCATGATGATACAGGAGAAGGATTGAGAAATAAGAGAGGCAGCTTGGTATGTAACAGTGGGGAAAGCCCTTCACTTCTGAGTCAGCCCTGGGGTGGGGCCCAGCCCTGCCGCCTCCAAATTGCTGTTCAGCCGTGGACAAGTCTCATCACCTTTTTGGGCTTCAGGCCCCTCACGTTTAAAGTGTTGGGGTTGGACCAGGTGACCTTGAAGGGCCTCTTGCAGCCTTAAATCTGGGATCCTGTTATTTCTAAGGTCCCTTCCAGCTCTAAAATTCTTTGACTGACCACAACTCCTACTCTGGACTCTGTCGCTATAGTGATGCTAATGAAAGATAATCAGGGTACAAGGCTGTACGTGTGACAGAGCTACTGAACGGGATAAATTTTAGAGGCTGGAGCAAGACAAACAAGCAAGACTTCTTGGTCAGCAAAGATCCCAAAAGTTTATCTGCCCTGTCCCTTCAGTCTTAGCAGGGCTAAACTTGACGACTTTGGTAAAGATAATCAAGGACAGAATACCTGGCCCTCCTTAACTGCCTGCTGTCAACACTATGGAAGTGCTTCTAGCCTCACTGCTTTGCCCTCCCCGCCATTCTTGCCTTTTTGGAGATAAAAAAGCTGATCATCACCCCCCACTGTTACAAGGTTCTCAGTCAGCTAATAGTGAAGAATAAAAAGCAGCTGATACTAGTGTGGACTTGACTTGCCTTTGCTCCATGTCCCCGTAAGAAATCCCCACCTATTTTTGCACCCACAAAACCAATATCCAGTGTGTTACATTCAGCCAGGCGCTGGGCTCAATGTGCAGAAGCTACACAGGTCTCCAGAATCTGGGAGTCATTTGAGAGTCTGCAGTGAGATAGAATAACCTGCTACTGATCTTGTCAGGAAAAGGAACAAAACGGGGGTTCAGGAGGAAGATGATGGTGATGAAATACAGTAGGGAAAACAAGTCTGTTTTTAATGCAGAGCTTTATAACACAAGGGGCAAAGTCTAGGGTAACTTACAAACTCATGATGATGGAGCAAATTTCTTATCTTCATAGGACCCTGTGAAACAGGAACAGGTTTAGCTACACGAGCAGTATGGAGTTTGCCCCACTCCTCCAGAAAGGTCAGTCTTAAAAGTTACTTCAGAAATCCTTTAGATTAAAAATAACACGCACCAGCCCTAACAGCGAAACTGAATTGGTGCCACTGGTGTATCTGCACTAGAAAATAATCTTGTTAGCTCCTGCCACTCCACTGTGAAGAATCCCATTCCAACACAGAAGAGAGGGGTGAATCATTAGCACTGCATGGGACAGAACCCTCTTGCACCTCCCTGTCAAGGAGGCACAGAGGGAGGTGGCAAAAAAATCTGGAATCGAGCAGGAAAAGCAAAATTCACAATACTCGATACTCACCAAAACGGTCTCTTTTCCCTACATTTATTCTTCATGCCTTCAATTGCTCTTATCTCACTAGGTTAAATACTTCTTGCTTCTCCTGACAAAAAGGTGGGGAGACCTGCAGCCTCAAGGCCACATGTGACCCTCTAGGTCCTCAAGTGCAGCCCTTTGAATCTAAACTTCACAGAACAAATCCCCTTAATAAAAGGATTTGTTCTGTAAACTCGGACTTAGTCAAAAGGCAACACCCAAGGACCTAGAAGGCCACAGGTTTGTTCCCCACTCCTGTCACGTTAAGTGACTCCACTTGCTCTCTTCCCCTCCACCACCAACCTCAATAAAATGAAATATCAGATATTTTAAATTTGGGTCTTCTGCCGAGATTCTTTCTGGCCTTGGACACAACAGTGCATATTTTCATAAAAGCAAAGAAGATTGAGTGGGTGCAGGTAACACTCCAAAAAGTAGATTCTCTCACCTGTGCTTTAGAACATCATGGTTCAGCTAATTGCTATTGCTTTTGTTTTTCAATTAGCTCTGCCTCTATCTTCTCAGGAAGTGTTGGGTCCGTGAAATACTCTGGGTTAAGAAGCAAAGGGAGGAAGTCATTTGAGTGGGGGAAAAGGATTCAGTGCAGACAGTTTATGTTACTATAAGACAGGGAGCCTAATCTCAACATTACTTATGATTTAGTCTCCGAAGACTAAGCTTCCCTTGGTTGAACTCTATTTGCTTATCTGCCTGCTGATGCCCAAGGAACATTCTGAAGATGGATTATCTGGGCTTTTCAGCTCCCTAACCCATTTCTGACCTGTACAAATAACAAGCTCTGCTTGCCAGCTCCTGAATTTCAGATTTCACACCCCCTCTGAGAATATCCTTTCATTGGGGAGAGCCAGAACTCAGCAAGACAACAAAGCAAGGTTTTTTACAGACAGCAGAGTATGGATTAGGCAGGATCTGCTTGGTAGCACAGATCTGCTTAGAAAGGACTGAAGATACCTACTACTAATTCTTCAGGCTAGAAGGGGACCAAGAGGTCATCTGGCCAACACATCCACTACCTCCTAACCAAATACTACTGCATGAAGAGCTCTGCTTCCCTTAAAGACTTCCAGAGATGGTGATGCTAGTGTCTCCCTTGGGAATGTGTAGTACTAGCATTTAAGTCCCTATTATGTGCCAGGTACCATAGATTCTAGGGGTAGAAAGATAAAAAAGAAAGTCTCTGGCCCACAAAGAGCTTACAGTCTCATGAGAGAAAACAACATGCAAGCAAAATTAAATGCAAAGTAATTTCTAGGTATAGGGTTATTTGCATCTGGGATACTGGATCAGCTCTCTGCAGGAGGTGACACCTGAACTAGGCCCTGAAGAAAGCCAGGGATATAAGAGGTAAAGGTCTATCCCAGGATGGAGTGCAGGGAGGCCCTGGTGCAGCACTTAGCAAATACCTCCCCTGGGAGGTTTTGCCTCTTCTCTCACCTGTCTGTAGTCTAAGGAAATGACTGTGAAAGAAAAGGGCCCCTACTTTGCAGGATCCCAAGTAGATCCCATATTGCAGGGATTCTGCCAATCAATCTGAACCTGCGATAGCTTTTTCCTGATATGATCAAACACCAAAAAATGATAGTCTCACCGGCAGCAAACTCTTGGATATCCACTGGCCTTTTCAAAAACATTTCTCTGGAGAATACAAAAGGGTAAGGGAAGGGGAAAAAAAAAGACTTAAAAATAAGCAATTCTTGATTTCATTAGGTATTCTCATCAGAAAGAAAAAGCAGGTTAATCCACATTGTAACTATTGAAAGTCCTTTTTATTTTCAAATGAATTATAACCTGATCAGTTCCTGACAGAAAAAAAAAAAAAAAAACATTTTTATGCTGTTCTACTCTGGGCTGTAGAGGCTCTAGAACCTTATGTCCTAAGCACCTTCTCAGAATCATGTTTTTAAAATGCATAAAATACTTAGGATTACAAAGGAAACCAATTCTTTGAAGTAAAGATATAATTTTTCCCCATCTGAGTTCATGAGCCTCCTGAAATCTATCCACAGACCTCTTGTGGCCCCTGGACCCCCAGATTAAGAATTCCTGCTTTCAAATGAAACACATGCAGGTATCTCTCACCTTTTGGAATAAGCCAGGTTGGTTTAAAATGAATCCCATTTTCTCAGTGATTAACATTATAAAACTGGGCATGGAAGAAAGTCCTCCAATAGACTAAGGTGAAATTCTCTAAAAGGAAAAGGTTACCATGGCTTCCCACCCTGTTTTATACTGGGAAATGTAGAATACAGGTGGTGCTCTATCAGCCAGGAGTTATAACGATTCATTTTTCCTTACTTTCCCAGTTTTTGGACTTCCCCTCAGGCACCAACCACATACATCTGTCTCAGGCCTTGACTAAATACACTTTGATATCTGGGAACCCCTTAACTGCACAGCCATATGGATTTTGCCCTCCTCTTTTTGTCTAAAAAAAGAGAGAGAAAACTACTATCTGATACATTGTGTACCTCAGACTAAACCTGAGGTTTTAAGCTATGTAAAATAAGTTATTCCCTGCTTTTATGTCTAAGTTTGAAATTGTCTATTGTGTTTCTATACATAGGCATGTTTTACATATGTGACAGTACATATTTGAGGTTTGTAAATGAATAACAGTAAAATAGTAGGATTCAAAAGATCCAAGTAGGAAAATCTCTGCACCAGTGTAAGACTATGGGGAGTCTGCTTGAGAGTGCCTCACAACTTAGGTCAGTCCTGGAGCTAAATACTACCAAGTTAAACCCTGCAAAGAGTGTTAAACAGCAGGCATTTGTGGTAGAGATTCTACAGATTCTCTCTCTGGCCGTCGGAAGCATCCAAAAAAATGAAGAACTAACTATGTCTCATTCTGTTGCTCCCCCGCCATAAAGACAGTAGACAAACTTACTCCCTTCCCACTGCTTCCCATCTTACCTGCCCTGAGAGCACAGAGGAAAGAGGATTAGGAAGGGGCCAAAGAGAAGGTTGTTGGAAGGACTTTAAGGACACAATCAGGAGTCATCTAGTGACAAACATGCTCCATGGCAACCACTCACACTACTTCCCCTCAGGGCCAAGGAGGCAGGGATATGAATCCTCTGTCCTTACTGTATCCCCTAATTTACAGACACACCCAATTTTCAGTGACCCAGCCTCCTCCTGGAAATTCTTCAAGCCAAGTGGGAAAAGCTCACCTGATACGCAGTTACCATGACTGCCTTTCACACTCCCCCAAATAGTCCAACCCCTTGGCAGAGCTAGATTATTAATGCTGATTTAATTCTGGTCTCCACTTGAATCCTCATTGACTTGGATTGCATGATTATTCGAACAAAGACAACCTATTTTCACTCCTTTAGATAACTTTGATGATGGGTGGTGGTGGCAGTGAATAATGCTGACAGTGAGTCCTCAAAACTCCTCTGGCCCACGACTTCAACCTTTTCTTAGATTTAAGAAATACTGTTTACAAAGTAACATGGATAGATCTGAATCTATTTCTGTCCACCCCCCTAAGGGTCCCAAATAATTAAGAAAATTACTTTAAAAGGAAAGCAAAGAGGCCCAGCAAAGAGAGCCCCTCATTTCGGTTTCAAGCATAAATGGAAAAGAGCCCTTGCCCCCAACCCATTCTCCGATTGTCCTTCGTCAACTTTCGCACTAAGACATCTCGTCTTTGGTTTCATTGGGCCCTTGTAGACGGCGTCTTAATGCGCTTTTCATCACTGGGAGGCCTGCCATCCTGCTCCTCGTCTGTGGCCGTCACAGCCGTTCATTGCCGACGCCAGGTGGAAGGGCCGGTTGGGGTGGGGGTCACTTTAAGCAATCTGAGGAATGGTCCCGTTTTCACCGAAGTCACTTGGCAGTGACCCCCAGCCATTATCACGGTGGTTATGAAGTTGCTGTTGTTTCAAGAATTTAACTTAACCTCTGCGGACCAGGCGCCCGCCTAGGGGTGGCTGCAGAACCAGGCTCGGGCCGTAGCCGGGGCTGAGCAGGGGGCTTCCGAGGCCGCGCATCCCGTCCTCCCCCCAGAGCACCGGAGCGGCTGACGCCGGGCTTAAGAGGCCTCGCGGCCGCCTACCTAAAAAAGCCGCTCAGCAACAGCTCCACCTCCTTGTGTGAGCGCAGGTACTGCTCGTCCGCGATGCGCGTGCGGATCTGGGCGGGGAGAGAGGGAGGGCGCGGCTGGGGCCCCGCCCACCCTGGGGACGGGGCGGGGGAAGGAGGAAGAGGCCCCGCCCCCAGACTGAGCCTAGGCTCCCAGCTTGGGGAGGGAGGGGACGGGATAGAGGAGGCCCCGCCCACCCCGGGGACAGAAGGAGGGAGAGGAGGCCCCGCCCCCAGGCTGAGCCTACGCTCCCTGCTTGGGGACGGAGGGGACGAGGAAGTGAAGGCCCTGTCCAACTCCTACCCCCCCGGACTGAGCCCACGTTCCCTGAGCGGTGAGAGACGGCCTGACCTGCAGTCCGGGAGCCCAACGAGGGAGCGAGGACGAGGCGGGGAAGAGGAAGCCGGGCCGAGCCCCAGCGCCGTGCATGGAGGGGGGAGGGGAAGACCGCCCCTGGACCCCTCCACACGGTGTTCATGTTACCTCCACCCACACACACACCCCACACGCCCCTCCCCAGACTGGGGCTGCACCCACCTTGAAATTCCGCAGCTGTATAAGCTGCTCTAGGCTCAGCGCCTCGTGGTCGTGACCCTTTATCCCGCCAATCCCGGAAGCCATCTTGTCGCGGTTGCCATGGCGACGCCCGCGAGTCCCCGCCCCCTCTTCGGAGAGCGTCGGGGGTGGAGCTCCGAGAGGCGGAGGTTGGGTGGAGTAACTTGAGGCGGGGTTCGTGGGTGGCCCTCGGGCCCGCGGGTGTGGAGAAGCGCGGGTGCTCGGAGGCCGGTGTCCAGCCTGGTCACCTGACCAATGAGGCCGCGGAGGCCCCGAGAGGTAAGTGGCCTCTTCTGAGTGTGGAGCTAGCGCTCCCTCCAGGCCGGCTTGTGACCGGCAGGATTCGAATCCAGGACCTCTGACTCCAGACCCAGCGTTCTCCCTATTCCCCCTCAACCCCTGGCACAGCTTCTGTGGGAGACGCCTTTGGAGTCCCCAGCTACCTGACAGTGCTGGAGCAGATGCGGTACAGGGGGAAGAGCCCCGATTTCAAAGGCAAAGGGCCTGCGTTCGAATTCCGCCGCTGACACTGGCCTCGGGCCGCCCCCTCGGGTCCCAGAGCCCTGTCTCCCAAGCGAGGGGGCTGGGCTAGAGGGGCTCCTAGGTCCACGGTGACCCCCGACCCCACCGACCCTGAGTCTGTACCAGCAGGCCGGGGTGGGGGGTGGGGGGGAATAGTTGATCAAGAGCAACAGCCTTCGTTTTACTTTTGAGAAAACTGAGGCCCTGAGAGTTTAAAGTGATTTCCCCAAAGACACGCCCCGCCCCCCGAAGGTGTCGGAGGCAGGATTCGAACCCGCGACTTCTGACTCCACCTGGAGCCTCATTTTCCCCAGCCCAGCCGTCCGTCGGTCTGGCGACCAAAACCACACGTGACCCCGCTTCAGGCCGGGGAGGGGGCGTACTCCTCCGGGTGTCTAATTAGAAGGGAAAGTGAGGCCAGGGGCTCAGACGCTTCGCCCCCCACCCCTGGCTCGGACCCTCCCGTTTTGTCTGGGCGACCCCTGACCCCGCATCTCTGTGCCGCCACCTCCTCTCTGATACTGCTAGGCCGCCGGCCCCGCATCGCCTCCCGCCCCGACTGTTGCGGTGGTGGCTGCCTGCCTCCCGGCTCCCTCTGCCCCGGGCCATCCAAAGGGATTTCCCACTCAGCTCGGCATTCAAAGCCCTTCCTAGCGAAGCTCCTCCTTCCAGTGACCCTGCCTCCTGGCTGTGCCTGAACCTCTTGGCGCCGGGCACTCTCACTGGCTGCCCTCCATGCCCGGGCTCTCCTTCCTCCCTCTGCCTCTTGGCTTCCCTGACTTCTTTTAAGTCCCAGCTAAAATCTCATCTTCCACAGGAAGCCTTTCCCATCCCAGCTTAATTCTGGCGCCTTCCCTCTGTCCATTAGTTCCTATTTATCCCTTCCATGGCTTTGTTTACTTGTCTCGCCCATTGGATTGTGAACTCCTTGAGGCCAGGCACCGTTGCATCCCTAGTGCTTGGTACAGTACCTGGCACATAGTAGGCTCTTAACAAATTTTATTTATTGACTGATCCCTCCTCAGCCAGTCCCAGTTCCTGAGACAATCAATCCATCCAGTTCAAGAATCCTTCACTTTGGCATTGAGCTGTCTTGATTGTTGAGCAAATGGATGCAAACTCACTTAGCTGGACCCCAACCAGATCACAGTTTCATGTCCCAGGCCATCTGACCATATGCATGGCTACACATAAGCTCTCCAACTCTCCACCCCCTGCCGTAGGCACAGTTACTGAATCAATACCTCCATTGCTTGTGGAGCAGGTGTGCCCATCAGATGCCTCAGTTCACCTTCACTGTGATGCCCAGACTAAAATTCCTCGACCTTGGCACCAACCCTATACTGCCTTTCCCTGTTAAAATGGAAGATCCTTGAAGGCTCAGATTTAAGCCCTTGTGTCTGTATATTCCCAGCACTCCCCATGGAGCCTGGTAGTTCAAAATTGCTTAATAAATGCTTTTTCATTCCTCCATGCAACGTATCTTTCTAGCCTCAATCTCATAATGTTCCCCCTCAATCAGTCATTCGGTATTTAGTAAGTGTCTGCTCTGTGTCAGCCACTGGGAATACAGCTATAATAAATGAAACAATCTCTATTTAAAAGGGGCTTATACAACAAGCACGTATATAAGTGTAGCAACATAAATTCTGGGGATCTTTATCCTTATCCAGGTCCCACACACTGGAAAGTCAGGTATGTGAATTATGGGAAGGTCTTTCTAATGCCACTGCCTTGAGTCCCCAGTCTGACAGATTCCTCCCAATAGCAATCACCAGTTATCTCATAGATAGCAGTGATTAGCATCCCACTATTAGTTTAACCAATTAATATCAGTCAGCTTTTTCATTGTGGTACAGTCGTGTCTGACTCTTCTTGACCCCATTTGGGGTTTTCTTGGCAAACGTACTGGAGTGGTTTGCCATTTTCTTCTCCAGCCCATGAGGAAAAACAGGGTTGAGTGAGTTGCCCAAGGTCACTCGGCTGGTAAGTGTCTGAGGTCAGATTTGAACTTGAGTCTTCCAGACTCCAGGCCTGGTTGCTCTATCCACTGCACCACCTAGCTGCCCTCAATTAACTTTCACAAAAAGATATTTACTGAAGAGAAGTAGCAAGACCTGAAATATAAAAAGTCCCCTGAAATTGGGCACATTCTCCTCTTGATCCCTGAGGAGAATAAGTTCATATTTAAATCAATGGCTAGGAAGTATTTACTACACCAGGGTCACGCCCAGTGCTGCCAGCCACAGCCTCTGGGCTGCTGGGTCCATCTCCTCAGCTGGGCCGAGAACCTCATCAGACCCATCTCTGGCACAGACTCGTTCCTATGTCTCTGGTGATTCATTCTTTCAAGTGAGAGTCCTCTCCAGTGCACCTTCCCCTCTGATTACAATGCAACAGAAACAGGGTAAAAATCAGAAAATAAACGTCACTGTCACCACACTCATGGCCACGTACTGGCCACATAGGCTGCTAGTACCACCTCTCCCCAGCTGGAGCCACCTGTTGTCCTGGCCTTGCTCACCATCAGGAAGGAGACGGATCACTTTGGCCAGTTGCATACTCCTCCTGGCTCAGTAGCTGACCACTAGGGCTTTGCATCAAGACTCATTGGAAGCAGATTCACCCAACCTCACCTGGACAGTATCAGGCATAACATGCAAGCTCTGAAGGACCCATTTCCCATTGGACAGTTCTCCATCACCCAAGAAAATACAGAACAAATATAAAGAAAATGGGGACAAAGTCATTAAATGCAAGATAGTTTGAGAGGGAGGACACTAGCTTTTCAGGGGATCAAGAAAGTCTTCATGTACAAGGTATGGCTTGAGCTGAGTCTTGAAGGAAGAAAAGGATTCTGGTAGGCAGAGGTGAAGAAGTACGTTCCAGTCATGGGATATAGCCACTGTAAAGGCATGGAGCTGGCGTGTCATAAGGGAGGGCCAGAGAGAGGACCCGCTTGGCAGGGTTGCCCTCAGGAGCATGATGAGGTTGGACAGATGGGTTTATGGCCAGACTTCGAAGGACTTTAAAAGCTAAGCAGAAGCATTCATATTGGATCCTGGAGGCAACAAAGATACATAGAAGGTGGTGGTGGTGGTTGTTTTTAAGCGGTAGGGGCAGTGATCTTTGTGACATGGTCAGATTTGCTTTTAAGGAGAATCACTTTGGCAGCCAAGTCATACAGATGGAGTAGTGAGAGAATTGAAGCAGGAAAACCAATCAAAAGGTTGTTGGAATAATCCAACCAAGAGGTAATGGGAGCCTGAACCAAGGTGGTAGCCGTGTGAGGAGGGAGAAAGGGTCAGAAGCCAGAGATGGTGTAGAGATTGAAATGACAAGACTTGTCAGGTGACTGAATGTGTTTCATTTTGCTGCAAGATTGGCCTGGGCCTCACCCTGGGATTCATCAGCCGTTTGATGGAGGTCTGGGCGGGGGACTCCAGGTCCTCTATTGAAAGGGGGAGCTTAGCACAGCCCCCATTTCCCACCAGCTCTGTTGCTTCTGGGCCTCTCTGGTATTCCCCAGCTTCCTTGATTATTGTCTTACCCCATTCAATTGTAAGCTCCTTGAGGGCAGGAACTGCCCTTGTTTTTCTTTATGTGTCCCCAGTGCTTAGCACAGTGCCTAGCAGACAGTAGGTGCCTAATAAATGTTTACCCACTGACTGATACGAGGTGACGGAGAGTGAAGAGTTAAGGATAATGCCATGGTTGTAACCCTGTTAGAGAAACTGGAAAAATGGTGGTCCTTTTTGACAAAAATAAGTAAAGTTTGAAAGAGGAGTGGGTTTGAGGGTAAAGATAATGAGTTCTGTTTTGGAAGGTTTGTCTCCTCCTGACCAATTAATTCTCTCTCTGGGGCTTGGCTAGAAGTCCACTGGAATCTTCTCGAGTTCTAAATTAGTCAGGTACTTAATACAAAACCCCCAGGGCACGAATAAGTTTCTTCAGCCAGTCCAAAAACACCTCCTGTATATCATCAATTTATTTTATCCAATGGCTTTCAAGGACTTCTACTTCTTCCAAATCATTTATATAAACAAAATTAACTTCAGCATATAAAATATCAGAACAGTTGTTCCAGTCTTTCCAAGTCCTTATCAGGATTCTTTTCTCGTTCATGGTCATACTGTGTATACCATATTCTCATTCTCCTTTTTTTATCATTTTGCATTATTTCATAAAGGACTTTCCACACTTATTGGTATTCTCCTTCCTTGTCATTCCTTGTTTTATTACAGTATGCCATTATGTAAATGTACTACAACTTATTTAACCATTCCTCTATTGTTGGACATTTCGATTGTTTCCAGTTTTTTGTAATTACATATAATGATGCTGTGAAAATCTTTGACTATATAGTTCTTTTATGTTTCACAGTATATCATCAACAATGAAATGATTGGGTTAAAGGGTATGATGGCAGGGGTGGGGGGGGGAGGTAATTTTTACTGTGTGTTGCTCAGTTATTCTCCAGAAAGATTCTACAGGTTTGCAATTTCAGCAATAATCCCTCTATGCTACCACAAGCATAGAATTTC